ATTTTCAGCCTCGTCGACTTTGTTCATTGCGTTGTCTCTGACATTCAGTTAGCACATGTGATTGTTTCGGATGTAAACTAGACATACCCTGTTTAGGGACATGTTTAGTACCAGGATGCCCACTTCAAACCTAATCATTTCTCAGTACAAAAGAAAAGAAAATGGAATGACATCTACTTCAACTAGTGAGACGACTGACGCTATTTGGGACTCAGTTCACTCATTCCAGTGTTCAATGATATGCAACTTTTTAATTTGATTTGGCATTTTGTGTATCAGAACAATGCGGCCAGACGGCACGTCAGCAAATCGATTTGGCGAGTTGCCATTACAAGTGAACAGTATGCGTGCGTTCGTCAAAGCGTTGTCGTTGTTCAAACATGTTTTTTGGTTGAATGTTGTTTGTTAAATATATGGGAAGACGAATTGGTTGCTACACTTACCATATAGCATACACCTTTAGGTTCGAAGCAATATCACAACAAGTTTTATAATTTTTGCTGGCTTGAAGAAGTTAATTTAGAATGAGCGCTGTAGCAAATAAATAAATGAATGGTATATTCTTTTACAGTTCGTGGCACAGACCAACTGCGTGGTTCGATCATTCTGTACAAGATAAACGGTTGGCAGAAAAATGATTCCAGTTTACCAAAGTAGTTTCTAGAGGCGGTTTTGCTTTGTTCTTTTTGTTAAAATTATTAAAGATACGGAAAGTGGAGCGAAGGAATAAATCTAGACATAACCAGCAGTTCAAGTAAAGTATAATACGACCAACCGTGCAATCATCACTTTGTCACCTGTTCCTATGCGTGAGGTTGCAGCCGCATTTCTTCGCCTCATGTAGCCACGTGCAATGTGGCTTAAAAGCAATTAAGCCGTCATCATGTTGACTCGTAAGATGTTTCTTCGTTTCACTTATAGTAAAGCTAATAATGTTAGCTCATATGATATTTCCTTTATGCTACCCAAAATCGAAAGAGCGTGCCATAGAACCACTGATAAATCCATAAGAGTGACGCATCCCAAAAATTTGGAAGAGTGGGCCATGTCGCACAATGTATGTACAGCCGGATATGGTGGCTCCCGTATGTGCACATGTGAGTTGCGCTTTAAACTCAAGTAATTAGGTGACCGATACCTCGCGATGGAATAGCTTAGCACATTGAGTGCCAATATCTGGGACGGACTGGTCTGAGGACCGCGCAGTGGAGCGAGAGATTGCTGCAAGGACTACATTGTGTGCTAGACGCGATTCCCTTAACTGCTTGGACGATTGAACTGATCTGTGGACGTTAACGGAGTCGTAACTTAGCTATCGGTTGTGAGCACGGATCAATGCCACGATTGAGAATGACTGTGTAACTGGTTAGAGTACATGCAAGCTGACTGATGACTAGACAGTTAGTCTAAGTACAGCCAATTGTCGCTCATTAGTTGTACTGCGAACTAGGGACCAGGCGGAAATCTCTGAGGATAGACACTATTTTCGCCTTGGAATCCTTGGGGTCAACATATGGAAAGAAATGAGAAAACATTTCGACTACACAATTATGTATTCTGTGCAAAGCATCCTGAAGCCGTTTCACCTATCTATTCTAATGACATGCCTCCAAGTGTCGCTATAAGCTGATGATCCATGTTTAATGATTAGTCCCAATTACTTAGCAACAGGCAACGCCCGAGGTAAGGTAGCTCGGTCAATAAACTGTTGACCGTCAAGTGGAACCAAGATAATATGTAGGTTATTGCTTTCACTTATCTCTTGAAAACGACCACCGACATTATAGCCAGGCAGCTCATTGAACTTCGGAAGGGATAAGTGCATGAAAACCGATCCTTTTTGTGCCACTTTCAAATAACGTTTATTTTCAGTAAGGAAATCAGTATTTCGTTCGTATCCAAAACAGAAACAATCATTGACACCGTCCCTCAATGTTCCCTTATATTATTTAGAGACTGCTTCACTTGCTATTCTGGTCAGACTGCAGTGTCTCTTAATATTGACAGAAGCTTCGCGAGCGATGTTACTTATTTCACAAGAGCCCACGGTATCACAAGAAAAATAATTGCAGACTACCCACAGTTATTATACTGGCGCTGGACTTGAAATTTACAACAACAATGTGGGAAATGCAACCGATTAGGCGAAATGCGTGTTGTACCGGTTGGCAAACCGTTAGATACGAAGAAAGTTTGATAAAGTGACAGTGCTAATCAGATGACGTAAAAATCCTGTTTACAGAAATTTAATCGGAACGTTGAGACTTATGTACGCATGCACGCATTTTTATTGTAAGCGATGCACCTCCAGTTAGCACAGAAGCGACATCTTGTTACAATGGTGTTGCTCAACTTTAAAAACGCTTAGTTGGCACTTTGGAGTAACGGTAATGGCTGGCAGGCAGTGTTTGTCCTTACTTTTAAAGCGACCGTACAGCAGTTGTGTGAAACCATTTGCTTGTAGGACGATACCACTCGAATTCGGAACAAAGTAATACAGCGACAAGGAGCCATTAGCCCCACTGTACCAACCAAAACACAACACCAAACATAAGTGTTCATATGTCGTATCAGGGTACTGCGATGGAACACTAAGATTTTAAAACTGTATATCTTGTGGGTTATTGTCCGATTTACTTAAGATGTCCGACTGAAGCTTTGGAGAGAATATTGGCTGTGTGCTAATGCTGTTACTGTACATTCGGTGTATGACAATTTAGATATTCTTTGCATGGCGTAAAACACATAACTAAGTCATTCAGTAGTGTACTTAAAGTCAGTGATAAATAGCACTACAGTAGATTGTGCGAATCACAGTCGATTTCGAGTATTCAAGCGTTGACCAGTATATCACATAAACGTGAACTAAGGTGTTTACATTTCTGGGACCATTCATTTCTATGTTGAAAACTGCCTTTTGAAATACATGTTAATACGTTATCAGAAGTATTGACCGTGACCTTTAAATCGGCCGTTGCCTTTTTCGCCGAACATCATTTTCACATTAGCTACTGTATAAGTCTCAGCATTGCACGATATTTCGTTCAAACAACTTCAAGGTCACTGAAGCTCTTTACTCCATCCAACTATGAGCATACACACCAGATATCGCGCAAGATCCGCGATATATTGTCGCTGGACACAAAACTATACGTCAATTGTAACGAATTTTGTGGAAAGACTTTCATCAAACCTTTTCCGTTTACAATGGATACAAATCTCAAAGATTTAGTCCAGCTTTCTGGAATTGTTGTTTGGTCCATCAATGACAGTGAATCTTCAATTCTCTACCCATTGTAAACTTTACATTTTTATTAGTAATCTATTTAGTAAATTTACAGTTTATATTGTTAATGGTGAAACTACACCCCTTTGGGTAGGTAAAAATTATAGTGACTTGACTTGACTAATTACTGAGGATTTTCAACCATATTGCAATTACAGGGCAACTACGCTGCATGATCCGTCAGTATTCGTTGAATAAATTAGCCCTAATTGTGATGGGGGAATATATCTAGGTAATTGATGGACTACTCGATGAAATATTTCATGAGCAGCTGTGTGCAACTTGGTGATTTAGCAAAATAGCCAGTCCATCCCAAGTCTATTAATCCTTCATGGTATGGAGCTGTTTCTGCGTCGATTGTGTTGGGCATTCTGGAATCACTGGTTGCACTACAGAATGTGCTTCAGTATATATCAATTTCATTCTTTCATGCATCACCTGAGCTAAAGTGGAATGTGGACTGCCACCTATCACAGTATGAACTAGGTACGTGTACCTCAAAGTCATCCTTATTGTTTCTATAAGTTTCGGGCACAACGTTCCTCCAACGACAGAGGGGCATCTATGCGTTTACACGCCAATGTTCAATTAATTGGCACAATATGTCATGTACCGGCATGCGTTTTGGCAAATTAGGGGAATGCATTCTGGACTTGTTGAATGTCTAAAGACAGAAGGGTCCTAACATTCACTTCGTTGCATGACTCAAAGCAATTTTTGCAGCAAACATTGGGCCCCAAACGGGAAGTAATTGCAGACGTTGTTGTATCACTTAAACCAAACAAGGTGATTTCGACAGTGCACTCCAACTTCATCTATGCGCACATGTCCACAGGTAAGAACAGTTTAACAATTCTTTGCTAAAACTTCAATATGATTGTTCCCGCGCACAGAATTCAACGACCTAATCACCCTGATTTGGAATCGTCAACACGACGAGAAAGCTGATGCGATGAAAGCTGCGAGTCTGTACAGGCAGCTGAGTGTGCCGTGATGGTTCCGCTAGGCATTTCAGTAACCTTAACTATTGCGGCCTGAGATTCGTGGGGCTAACTTGCACAATAGTACTTAGGAGTGACCGGCAGCTACCTCATCCAGTCCGAACACCCAAATGCAGGTTGATAAGCGCGCTTCGTCCTACATTATGGAGGAACCGTACGGCTACTAGCATTGAGTCTGTATGGATGGGAAAAGAAATCGATACAGGACAAGCAGAGTCTTAACAGCAGACAGTTCACCGCAATTCGTATCTCTTGACTTCTGTTTGTGTACCCTCGAGTCCCGAATAGTTTTATCCAGTATCATTGCATCAACTTCGTGATTCTTTTCGTACAGCGGTTGTTTGACGTCATTCATTACAACTTTATACCATCCAATAATTCGAAGAAAGTAGAAGCCACGATTAAAATTCCCGCACAATAATATGCCTCGACGGGGAGTCGAACCTCGGTCCACGAATTTCCGGTCCGCTGCTCTACCACCTGAGCTACCGAGGGCTGACGAAATTTGCGCACCTAATCGTCAGCCCTCGGTAGCTCAGGTGGTAGAGCAGCGGACCGGAAATTCGTGGACCGGGGTTCGACTCCCGTCGAGGCATATTATTGTGCGTGAATTTTAATCGTGGCTTCTACTTTCTTCGAACTTTACACTACTCACAAACATCCATACAATAATTGTCTAGATTTTGCTTCGGTGAAGTAAAGCGTGAACTCACCTGATGATACCTTCTCGTATTCTTTTAAAAGTGGCTTTTTCCAAGTGCGCGAATGGATTCGTGTCCTCTTGGCTCAAAATATCGAACGCCATTGAGGCATGATGATTTTCTAGGGGACTCTGGTCGTTATAACGCATCGCCAGTTCAGTGCCGGCATTAATCTATGAAAATGAATAAAAACAGAGCGAAATTCCGTTTATTGCAACATTTCTTTGCTAAAATATCTTTCGTTCCTGAACTAGATAAAGTTTCCTAAGTGTACCGGCTGAAGTATAGTAACATCGGGAAGGCAGTTTATTCACTTCATAGTAAGCATGATTCTAATCAACTAACCAGAGATCTGTCACTAAAGTTCTAGCAGCGTTCGGAAAAATGACAAGAACTATCAGTAATTCTAGCATTTAAATATGCATAAAGGATACATTCACGGTATTTATTAATGCTCGTCACGCGAATAGAACGAAAGTCTGGCTCGAAAAGTTCCATAAATCTAAAGCGAATACTGGTGTTTGTAAAGAAGCCCGAAATTCACGTATCCACGATTTCTAAATATCACGTCCATAAATCTCTTTTCTTGCTCTACCGACGACGCGCGATGGATAGTCGGATACAGCAAAGTTGAGCAACACACTACTCGTTCTATTAGCCTAGCGAATCAACAGTTTAAGCTAAACGAAGCCCAACTGCATGAAAATGACTAACTTACAAAACATTTCCACACCAGTATGCCATCATGTCGTATGTTGTAACACGAAGTTATAAATTCAATTGGTTCAGGATGAAAATATTGTAGTTAAACACTGGGGAACACTAGCTCAACCAAATTAATCGGAGGTCAACTGCCAGGCCTGAATTGGTACAATTCTTTGGCATAATCTATATATCTGTAAAGCATGAAGCACTCTCGAGGGCTCCAAATGGAAGCCGATGAACTGGGATTGACCGCTTGCTTGGACATGGGCCTGTTGACAGGGCAGGAATGACGCTCCGCGTTCACATGTGAGTTGAAACTAAAAGACAAGCGACTATTGAAACAAGGTGGGGGAGGGCCGAGAAGTGGAGGGTTGAAAACAGGGGGGATAAAAGTGAAGCTGGAACGGGACGATAAGAGCGAAAAAGCGCAAGAGGGGGAATAAGAAGACGGGAAGGCTTGAGCAGTAGCATCCAAACCCCTATCCACCCTGCCCGATGCAGCAGATAGGGCACCGTTGATTATCCTCTGCGGTGGCCAGAGCATCAGAAATTTGCCTGAAGAGAAATTCATTGTATTGCGTGGGCAGAATACTGTCAGGTTGCCCAGACCTAGACAGGAGAACGATTGGAGTTCTCAACCAAAGCCTTTGGTTCAAAAGCCTGACCGCAAGGCAGGTGGTTTGGCGGTGGGCTACAAGGAGTCCATTTTAAGGAATAAGGAGCCACCCTCATTCCAACCCCCAACCTGGAGGACCAGGAGGCTGCGTTTGTCTGGCCTCTAACCATTGACCAATCTGGTATGAGTGGCTCTGAAGGTGCAAAAATGCACCACCCAGTATAGCTCAATGGATCACTGAGGCACACAAACCGTCGCAATACGGTAAGGTCCAGCCTCATTGCGATTGGGCTCAATTAGTAGGAACACATGTAGTTAAAGGGGCTAAGTAGCTTTGCTTCTAGACTAGTCTCATTTTAATTGATGTTTGATCGTGTTCCTGCAGTTAGTTTATCCGATCACTGATTAATGATTACTGGTTGGAAGCAGCAAGTAGTGTTTTCTCTATGTAGCTGCATCTAATGTCACTCAGGGACAAAGACTCGTTATTTTGTGGTGCGCTCGATAAATTTTATGCCGGCAAAGTGTTTGTCCAGGAATTTCTAAAATCCCGACACCAAATTTGCCTCAACTATGTGCTGCGGTAGGCCGTTCCATACTTTCACTACTCTGCGCTTGAAACAGAGTTGGTGAGCGACCCGCTACAAATCCGGTACGACAAACTTGTACCGGTGTCCCCGTGTGCTGCTTGGTGTGCGCAGTTGAAGCAGCGGCCTTAACATGAGGTAATCCAGATGTAATATCCGGTGCGTCATGATGAGGTCAACCATCAGTCGACCATAAGCCAGGGTGTACAGCCCTAGTTTCTTACACCGGTCTTCGTACGGCACTCCACGTAAATTGAGTATCAGCCTAATGGCTACATGATGCACTCGCTCAATCTTTTCTATCTCGCCCCGAATGATAAGACAACATGCGGTAGAGCCATACTCTAGCGTTGGTCGTATTATCGAGAAGAAGAGGTGAGTGGCAACCTCTTCGGACTAAGTGCTGAAGCTGCGCCTGAGCGCCTAAAGCATAAGAAGGCTGTTTTGGTAAATCCTATTCGTGTTGTTCATGGACTTTAGGTCGTAGCGTGAGAGTACACCTTACTCTCGCACGAAAGGTACGGGATGCAACGCTTGACCGGCCACCGTGTAGCTTCGACTGTACTCACATTTACCTAGCCTCATGAATTGAGACTTGATCGGGTTGATCGGATGGTTGACCTCTGCAGACCACGTGAAGGGGCGGTCGATTCCTGGTGAAGCAGGTCACAACCACTGGATGTGCGGATTACTCTCCAAGTCATCTGCGAACAACGCTCATCGCACACCGTTTATATGGATCAGAAACAAAAGCAGCCCCAGTACAATGACTTGGAGCACGCCACTGCGAGATGGATACCATTCGGTCAAATGGTTGTCCACCTGGACCCTCCAATTTCGATCAACAAGGATCCTCTTGATCCGTCGATGCAGCGAACCGCCAACACAGCAAACCCTCAGCCTGGCAAGGAGTACTGTATGATTTACCTTGTCGAAAGCCATACTGAAGTCAATGTAAATGAGGTCGACCGACTAAGCTTGGTTAAGTGTTTGTAGCCATTCGTGCCTCGTCAACAGTAGGTTGGTGATGCACGAAGCGACCCTTCACGAAACCGTGCTGTGTGGGCGTCAAGAGACTATCCGACTCGAGAAGCTGCAGATGAATCTTCCTCACGATCTTCTCGAGCCACTTTGCCAAAACAGCAGTCAAGCAGATTGGCCGGTAGTTAGTTACTTTGCTTGGGTTACCACCTTTCTATATTGGCTTTACGACTGAGCATTTACAGTCGCTCGGTAATAGTCCAGTGGATAATGAACTGTAAAACAGCTCAGTTCCAGAAGGCGAGATGATGGCCGATAGCGAGTTGAGGATCAATGGGTGAATTCCATCTGGACCGGCAGGCTGCGTCCCGTCAAGTCTTGCCAGAAGCTTGCGTACATTTTTAATGCTGCAATCCAGGCTGTCTAGGCCAGCGGGAGCGGTACTCGTAAAAATCGTTACAGACACGTAGTTACTTGCAAATACTGAGGCAAAGTTCGTCGCCAATGCGGACGCACGATCTGTGCCCGAGGTTAGGGGTTGTCCATCTGAGCCTTCCAACACTGGCACATTGCCTGCAGGCCTCAGGCTTTGCTTCACAGAGGCGAAGATCCTCTTGGGAGCAGTTTTTTGCGGCGGTTGCAAGCTGCTCTTCGAACCCTCCGTGCTTTTTGTTTTCGTGTTGTTGCAGAGCTTTCTCTGTACCTTGTATGCCTTCTAGTCCCCATCAGAACCAGATAACACGAATTTGTTCCACAGTCTGCGTCGTCGTCGGGCCAGTTTGCTGTACTCCTTGTCAAACCAATGTGCTTTGATTGGCCAAAATTTCCGACACTTGAGGGATACAAATCGGTCGCACAACCATGTCACTCTTTCTTTAATGATAGTTCAACAGGTTTCAATAGACGAATTTTCTTGTAAATATCAGTCCATCTGGCTTGCTGCACGAGTGAGGCTATTAAAGTCCGCCTTCCAATAGCTGAAGGCTGGCTGCAGCGGGGAAAAATACGGCAGCGGCAGTTCAGAGCTGGGTGTGATCATCGAGTGGTCACTCGCTCACAGGGGCTCCAAGACCTGAATGTCTTGCACACGTTGCTCACATCTGGTCAAAAGCAAGCCTAAGCACGATGGAGCCGTGCGCGCATTTATGCGCTTCTGTTGGTTGATGTGCTGTCTGGCCCGGTTTTAAATATCAACTCCGTAAACTTCTTCTCGACTTGACAATGGCAGGAGAGAAGTTCGGCCTCAGGACACCGTATTCGGGGTAAGTTGAAATCACCGGTGAGTATCAACAGTTGACGACTCTTGTGGTTGCGGACATGCGGCAACCAGTCTAAGCAGCGGCTTAGTGGACTACGATATACCCCGCCTATTAGCATCTCGCAGCGTCAGAGGTGGATCGAACACCATTACTGCTCACATAGAACATCAGCGCTTCGGTAGGTGCTCACTAGTCTCCCACATAAGGAAGACCTTATGTAATGCAGTACTATGCGATCATTTGATGTTCTACCATAGCGGAAGCAGGAGCAGCCGCTGATTTCTCCTTCTTGGACGGTCAAATTCGTGTTTAACCATGTTTCAGCAAGGCCTAATGCGTCTGGCCGCTGAGAGGTTACAAAGTAGTACAGCTCATCGCGTTTGCTCGTCAGACTGCAGGCGTTAGTAAAGGCTAAGCGCAGGCCGCGGTGGGAACCGCTGGGCGCGCCTGAAGCATCAGAAACTTGTCGTCCGGTGGCCGAATGGTATGCGCGTCTGGTGTGCAACCATAAGGTTACCGGTTCGAATCCGCTTAGGGGCGGGCGTCATCGCGGTATACTCAGCCCACGCGCGACTGGTGGTGGTCGCGTGGCAGTGAAACGCTGTTACGGCGTGCAGGTGGGGATTTATTTACTTTACTTTGATCCAGATTCGCGGAGGAAGCCGAGTGACTAATCGAAAATTTATTTCTCCATCCTCCGTGCGTCGCTTTAGTTGAATGCGCGCAGATTTGAGTTTCTCTCTGTCTGCTTGGTCTAAGTCAGCGCGCACGTGAATCTTTAGACCTCACAGCCTATTAAAGCGGGACAACATTAAGTTAGGACCTGCCGCTTAGACAAAAGTCGCCCTTATAGGTAGACTTTTACCGTCGGTTTTGCTTTCCGTGGCGAGCGATCTGTTTCTCTTTGAGCCCGCCCTCATCCACATCGAGCAGTCTATCAATCAGAGTTTACAAAAACGCGACGTCATGTTGACAGCGCATCTGGGGATTTGAATCACAGGATTCAGGTGAATCAAAGACTATGA